GGGACAGGACTCAGGGGGTCAGGACTCAGAGGATCAGGACACAGAGGGTCAGGACTCAGAGGGACGGGACTCAGGGGGACAGGACTCAGGGGGACAGGACTCAGGGGGTCAGGACTCAGAGGATCAGGACTCAGAGGATCGGGACTCAGAAGGACAGGACTCAGAGGATCGGGACTCAGAAGGACAGGACTCAGAGGATCGGGACTCAGAAGGACAGGACTCAGAGGATCGGGACTCAGAGGGACGGGACTCAGAGGGACGGGACTCAGAGGATCGGGACTCAGAGGATCAGGACTCAGAGGATCAGGACTCAGAGGGTCAGGACTCAGAGGGTCAGGACTCAGAGGGACAGGACTCAGAGGGACAGGACTCAGAGGATCGGGACTCAGAGGATCGGGACTCAGAGGATCAGGACTCAGAGGATCAGGACTCAGAGGGACAGGACTCAGAGGGTCAGGACTCAGAGGGTCAGGACTCAGAGTGTCAGGACTCAGAGGGACAGGACTCAGAGGATCGGGACTCAGAGGGACAGGACTCAGGATCGGGACTCAGAGGATCGGGACTCAGATGATCAGGACTCAGAGGATCAGGACTCAGAGGGACAGGACTCAGAAGGACAGGACTCAGAAGGACAGGACTCAGAGGATCGGGACTCAGAGGGACAGGACTCAGAGGATCGGGACTCAGAGGGACAGGACTCAGAGGGACAGGACTCAGAGGGACAGGACTCAGAGGGAAAGGACTCAGAGGGACGGGACTCAGAGGGACGGGACTCAGAGGGACGGGACTCACGGGGACAGGACTCAGGGGGACAGGACTCAGAGGGTCAGGACTCAGAGGGACAGGACTCAGAGGGTCAGGACTCAGAGGGACGGGACTCAGAGGGACAGGACTCAGAGGGTCGGGACTCAGAGGGTCAGGACTCAGAGGGACGGGACTCAGGGGGACAGGACTCAGGGGGTCAGGACTCAGAGGATCAGGACTCAGAGGGTCGGGACTCAGAGGGACGGGACTCAGAGGGACGGGACTCAGAGGGACGGGACTCAGAGGGACAGGACTCAGAGGGTCGGGACTCAGGGGGTCAGGACTCAGAGGATCAGGACACAGAGGGTCAGGACTCAGAGGGACGGGACTCAGGGGGACAGGACTCAGGGGGTCAGGACTCAGA